GAGTGGATGGAGGAGGAATGGAGGTTTTTTTCCTACAAGTTTCACCTGGCATCATCCACACTAGCACAACCACGTAGGAAGCATATAGTGGTGATGTGGTGGGATTTGGACCTATACTCGGGTGCGATAATATTTGAAGAAGCTAAATGGTCACTTTTTAGTTGGAGGACCCAGGTGAAAATACACATTAGATTGAGGATCTAGATGGTCACCTTTTTAGTTCAAGGACACAAGTGAAAATCCATAAAAAGTGTAAGGACATATGGTGCATTTTACTCTATTTGAAACGTTTTCCAAAAGTTCTAGACATGGTCGAGTCAAATTAGTTCTAAAAGTTTGACCATTGTCCAAAAGTTCTAGTGGTCTGGAAGTCCAAGACTAACGACTCTTTAGTTGGGAGTATATAAACTCGTACCACTTCATCTCTAACGCTTGGCCACTCATTCATTGTGACCTAACTACAGCCAAAAGAGCTCAAGAACATCCATGGCTCCTTCCTGTCGATGAATCCCCCCTGACTTTCTAGCTAGATTTGGTGAGAGGTTGAGAGGAGTCAAGAAAAAGCAAGATTTGACAAGTTTCTATAAGGCCCAGGTTAGAAACACCTCCGGAGGTTACCAAACAACACCTAAATTCTACTAGGTTTAGAAATTATAATTTTTTTTGGCAAAGTCTCCCCAGTAAACTTGGCATATCCATAGGTAGAGTCATATAACATAGAAGATATAACCCCATAAGTAAAGATATAAGCATCACCTCCCAACCCAATAATAGAATAAAAGGACCATCACAATTACAAAGACCGTCTCATCTAAAATAACATTTAAGCGTATTACATTGTAAAAACTTTGAATTAAAGAATTAAGCATATTATATACAAATTAGGTGTTTGTGCTCATGAAAGTGCTACTCCCAAATTCCATGCATGTCGCAATAGATAAGATACAATGTGGTTTTCTTTGGAAGGGCCAAAAGGAGGTCAATGGAGGATGTTTCTTGGTTGCTTGGGAGAATGTACAAAGGCCGTTAGACCTTGGTGGTTTGAGAATATGAAACTTGGAGATAATGGAAGGTCTCTTCAAAAGAAATGGATTTATTTGAAAGAAACCACAACCGATAGAGCTTGGTGTGGTTTGGACATCTCTACACATCCAAATGTGCAATCATTTTTCCCAACTCTATGACCACAAATGCGAGGAATGGTAGAAGCACTTTATTTTGGACCGACTGACGACTTCATGGCTGCTCTTGATTTTTGAAATCCCGCACCGTATAGTAGGCACTTGACAACCGTGCATGGCTGTAGGACATTCGGGGCGGCTTGTCACTCAGTGGATGGTCTGATGTAATTCCTTTAGTTATGGATATTCTTGACACCTTTGTATTAACCACGGATAATGACCAACATGTTTGGAGGCATGAGGCCTCAGGCTCCTCCTCTAAGTTGGCAAAAAAGTTAGCAAAGATCAAAGAAAAAGGGTTAACACCCTCATCATCTTGGGTACCCCTAGATGCTCTAGAAGCAGCGGAATGCGTCTGTGTTTGGGGGAGACTCTCCATGTGCCCCTACTACACTTAAAAACCTAAAGTTAGAAGCTCCTCTCTAGACGCTCACTGGGGCTTCCAAGATACAGAGTCTTGGGCTAAGTTGATTGGAAATCTAGGCTAGCTTAGTTTTTTAGTCTTTACTATAGACCCCAGTACCTTGGTCCAGATGTGTTCAATGGAACCCCTACTATTGAACACTGTTCAATGGATATGTATGCTCTCTGGACCGCATCGGTCAATGGAGGTCAATTGGTCCGATGTGGTATTAGACATCAAGGTAGCAGAGGTGTGCAAAGAGAGCCATTGGGTGGCAACGGTCACCTTCAAATGGCTAGTGACACGTGGCTTCATCTGGAGCATCGGGTGCTGGTGCGTTTGTCTGATGTGGACACTATAGTGTCTGATGGCCACACAGCTAGCCCAATAAGTGGGCAACAACAACTTGAGCCATTGGGGCTCTATAGATAGAGGTTGGTCGGCTTGGTCTCACTCTCTTGGCCATTTTGATTAGTGACACAACCTTGTGAGCCCTGTCTAACACCTCTCACTCATGTCCTTCATTGATACATCATCATAGCGAGATTGGGAGAGCATCCAAGTGCATTTGCTTAGAGTTGAGGTATTTAGTGGCACTTGTGATCATGTTGTTGTAGGATTTCTTGATACTCTTGGTTGTTTCCGCCACCTAGATGGCTTGGAGTAGTGGAGGATCATTGAGTGGCATTAGTGATTGTTGCTGGCTCTGACCATGGTGATTGTGAGGGGTTCTTGTACATATTCTCCGCGAGAGATCGCGAAAGGCAACTCTAGTGGATTGCTCGTGGCTTGTGGATCCTCTCTTGTGTTGGTTCTTACGACACCCAAGTGGTGGGCTGGACGTGTGATGCCTATTAGCGCGTGAGCCACCAAGTGAGTGTATCGCCACAACATGGAGTAGGTTGCCGGCAAGCAATTGAACCATGAGATAAATTTCTTGTGTCCCAATTGTCTTTTGGTATTCTCAATTGACGCTTGCCCAGTTCGATATTGCTCATGACCTCACTTTTATTTCATACATACATACTTGTCTTGTGTTGTAGTAGCTTGCTTGTGTAGATAGTTGATAGTTTAGTTGAGACTAATGTAACTAGTTCTCTTGCTAGCTCACTAGTTGTAGTAGCTGTGACATAACATGCTTGATTGCGTGAAATCAACATAGAGATCATAGCTACTAGTACGTGGTAGGTGGCTTGCTAGTTGGTAAAATTAGAGCTAGAGCTAAATCGCATATTCGCTATCTTATTTTCTAACAAGTTGCTCTAGTATTTTTGTAGAGTTTTTATTAGGTTATTCACACCCCTCTAGCTATTTTAGGACCTTTCAAGTGGCATTGGAGGCGTGTTCATCGTTAATTTGAGGCTTAACAACCTTCGGTATCAAAATAGCTCAAATCAACAACACTAGAAGGCCATCCCAATTTGATGGCACCAACTATGGCTATTGGAAAGCAAAGATGTGCACACACTTGAAATCAATGAATAGAAAGATATGGGAGGTTGTGGAGAAGAAATTTGAGGTTGCTAATGCAAAGCGTCCCATCGCAAATGAAGAAGAGAAGCTCCAATTCAATGATATTCCTCTTAGTGCCATTCATGATGCAATTGATCCAAAAGTGTTTGAACAAATCAAAGATCTTGAGAATGCTCATGAGGCTTGTAAGAGATTGAAAGAATCATTTGAGGGCACATAAGTGATCAAGGATGCAAAGCTATATATTCTCAAAGACAAATTGACAAGCTTCAAGGTGCAAGAAGGTGATACCATTCTAGAGATGTTCTATAGGCTCCAAGTGATTGTCAATGATCTTAAGAGCTTGGGTGAAAAGGTGGAAGATGAAGATTTCTCTCATTGGTTCTTGAGATGCTTGCCTACAAGGTTTGACACATTGGTCACCATCGTTGTGAGAAGCGGCTTGAAGAACATGACCCCAATCCAAGTACTAGGTGATGTCATTACACAAGAGGCATACCATGTGGAAAGGGATGCGGTTAGTCAAGAGGATGAGAAGAATAAGAAGAGTGTGGCATTCAAGGCCACATCACCATCAAAGATCAAGGGAAAGACAAAGAAAGAAGAATTAAGTGATGATGAATGCTCAAGTGCTTGTGATGATGAAGATGAAGAAATGGCTCTCTTTTGTGTGGAGATTTGGCAAATTCATGAAGAAGAAGGGCTATGGTGCTAGAAGAAGAAAGGCATCATCCAAGAACAAAGGAAGAACCAAGGAGATGCTTCAAGTGCAAGAGCAAGAATCATCTCATTGCGGAGTGCCCATATACAATAAGAAAGACAAGAAGAAGGATAAGAAGAAGGACAAAGAAGGCAAGAAAAGAAGGGCCATTCATATTGTGTCACATGGGATAGTGATGCTTTCTCTAGTGATGATGATGATAGTGATGATGAGAGGAAGACAACCAAGAAGAAGGCGCTTGCTAGTATTGGCATCAACAACAAGCCTTCTCTCTTTGATGCTCTATCAACATGCTTCATGGCTAAGGCCACTAAGGTACAATCCGATGATGAGAGCGATAGTGAGAGTGAGGATGAGGAGGAGCCCTCTAAGGAGGAAATCTTTGAGATGTTGCAAGAGGCTCAGTCTTATATGGACGAGAAGAGAATGGAACTCAAAGAATTGAGCAAGAAGCATCAGGTCTTGAGTAATCCTTTGATGAGCTCAATGCTACTCATGGGAGGCTAGTGGAAGCCCATGAGAAGCTTGAAAAAGATAACTCTTCTCTTGTTCCTCAAAAAGAGAAGGAACCTATTGCAACATGCAGTGTAGGAGTCACTTGTGATATTCTTGATGAAACTTTCTATAATCCTATTGTTGTTGCTCCTACTAATGCTTCAGGTAGCTCATCCACTACTACTTCACCTATAAGTGATGGTTTCACTTGTGATGCCTCACTTATGGTGGAAACTGAGTCTCTCAAGAGAGAGGTCAATGAGCTCACTCATGCTCTAGGAAAGGCCTATGGTGCTGAGACCCACTTGCTAAAGTGCTTGGGTAGCCAACACTTTTCTCTCAACAAAGAGGGGTTGAGCTATACCCCCAAGATTTGTAAGGCGGCCTTTGCTATTCACAATACTAGTTTTGTGAAGAGCAATGGTCGATTTTGCAATAGATGCAAGCAAGTCGGGCACCTAGAGCAATATTGCAAGAACAAGAACAAAAATGCTAATGTATCCTCCATTCAATTTGATTCTTGCTATATGCTTACCAAGGGTGTTGATGGTGTGTAATAGGAATCTAACATAGGGGCATATATGGAATTAAGAAAAAGAAGTGAGGCTTACTTGAAAAGTTGGCAATCCAGCTGTTACTGTCCACAATAAATATAGGCCTCTCCCACAACACTGCCATATTAGTCTTACTAATCCCTTTATTACACCCTAGTCTCTCCCATCGACCCATGGACTCAAACCAAAAACTGCTCTCATCGCCGCCGCCACCGATGCCACCACCACCACCACCAAAAAATGGTAACACCAAGGGCCACCCACCTCTCGTCTCCACAAAGCTGCATGATGAAGGAGATGGAAGCGTCGTAGGAGTAGGTGATATGGAAGGTGCTGCTCTCCGCCGTGGATCACCACGCGCATCGCCCCACGAGCTCTCTGGATCTGGCCACCATGAGCTCTATGGATCTGACTGCCATGAGCTCTCCGGATCTGGCCGCCATGAGCTCTCCAGATTTGGCTTCCACGAGCTCTCCGGATCTAGCTGCCATGAGCTCTCTGGACCGGACCGCCATGAGCTCTGTAGATCTGGCTACCAGGAGCTCTCCAGATCTGGCCGCCGCCTTGAGGGCAGAACTTCATCGAGATCTTTGGTGGGCTGTCCTAGTAGGGACAAGCCAACTGCTGAGCAACATGGTTTGCCACGGCGGCACTCGCGTATGGTGGCTAGGCTGGGATTAGCTGGTCTTGGCACCACTGCTGCGGTGGACGACTGGCCTTACACTTGTGCCGATTGCTCCATGACCTTTGGTCGGGAGACAGCACTGTCTGGGCACATGAGGTCGCACAAGCGTGACCACCTCTCCTCCGACTCTGAGGAGGATGCACGCACACCGAATAGGAGAAGGAAGAAGCGGAAGTCAAAGTTGAGGACCGTGACGCCGCTGGAGGCAACATGGGGCAACCGCGCTCACCACAATGGAACCCCTAGAGACGCCCCTGCTGAGGTAAATGGTTTGGGATCTGGGTCTAATGTCATTGTTCCCAACATTGCGGCCACCATGCCCGACAGCAAAGAGGTCATAGAGAACAACCATAGCAACGATGATATTTCCGTGATTGTCATTGACAACGACGATGATGATGCAAATCCTGTCATCGCCTTCGCGGGGTCTAATGGAGCACCTGGCCAAGCTCCTGATGCGGCGGTAGCTCTAGCCATGGCACCAGCTCCTGCGGTGGCCATGCCAACTCCTACGCCTGCACCTCATGCTGCTGCAGCATCTTTGAACACTGAAGGAGCTCCTGTTGTTACATCAACAGTGGCCGTGACAATTCCACCAGCTGTGGATGGTCCTTACTGGCGGATCCCAGCTGGCGCTCCCAGAAGCGCCATCCTCGTGCTTCCTGCATTAATGGCGCCAGTGCACCAACCACCTCAAGGCACCATGGCTATGGCTGGCAATCCTGTGACGGGTCATTTCTCAGCTGCTAACACCTTCACTGGCTGGTCACTCATTGGAACTACCAGCAGCATCCTTCCAGCAACCCCCTTGCACAATCAAGAGCATAATCCACAGGAACAGATTGTAGCAGAGGCGCCCCACAACCACGGACACTGCAGCGTCAGTCCTTCATTATTCCCATTCTCAAGGAGACAAGAGATAGCAGTTGTGCCTGGCAATGACATTGCCAGCAGCTCCTCCACTCCTCGCCCTAGCATTGCTGAGCCCTCCCAATCTATAGGGATCAACAACTACTTGGCAACCATTGATGCCCCTGCCAATACCATGGGCCGCCGCTTGCCATTCTTCCTAGCTGGCAGAAGCGACACCCAAGCACTTCCTGTGTCTTGGCCAGTGCACCACCGAACTCAAGGGATGGCAATGGATGGCAATCCTTTGATTGGTCATTTCCCAGCTGCCATCTCTGCCACTGGCTGGTCATTCCCGGTAACTACCAACAACGTCCTTCCTTGTATTCCCTTGCAGAACCAAGAGTTCAACAACAATGTTGCAGCCATTGATGCTCTTGCCAATACTATGCCCCGCTTGCCATTCTTCCAAACTGGCAGAAGTGCCATCCATGCCCCTCCTGTGTCGATGCCGGTGCACCAGCCAACTCAAGGGATGGCGGCTATGGCTGGCAATCCCGTGACTGGTCATTTCCTAGCTGCTATGGCTAGCGATTGGTTCTCATTCCCTGCAACTACCAGCAGCGTCCTTCCTGCAATTCCCTTGCAGACTCAAGAGGAGAATCCACCTCAAGGGAGAGTGGTGCCTACGAATGGTGAGCATCCCTCCACTCGTCTCATTGGCTCCAAAACTTTCTTTACATTCCCCTTAAATTTTTTTTTGAACAGAACTGGCAGGCCCCTCACAGAATCAAGCGGAGAATCCACCAGAGCAGACAGTGCCTAGCAACAACGAAGGTCGCACCATTCGTCTCTTTGGCACCAACATCGCTGAAGGTCAGAAAGAAGTCAAAGATTAATAAGTCCATCTGAACTCATGCTCGGCATAATATTTCTTTCCATTAAACATTACTTTTTTCATTCAAAAATTACTTAGTTCAAGCAAGACTTGTAGTCTTTGGTATTTGAATAAGGTTGTGTGTTTTATTTGATCAGACAAATTTTATGTTTTATCTCGATACCTGATAAACACTTGTATGGTTTATCTGATGGAATAAGCTTGTACTGGATGTTTGAACAACTTATGGTGTTTTCTGTTACCCTACCCATACAAAATGAGCATGTAACTTCATATTGTGTCGCTCATCTTCATTTTTTTTCTGAATGAATTGGTTATGTCAAAATCAATCGGAATGTATCACACCTTCCATGTTTACAGTTGAAACTGGAAAAGCTTTGAGGTCAGAGTCTTTTGACCAGATGGAGTTAGCATCATGGACATCATTTAGCATATGAATTGAACATTGCCACTGAAGATCATATATTTTGAATGGCGAGCCTTGCGGCTACCATTCCAATATTATGTTCTACAAACTTGATACCATTGTTTAGCCTTTCAAGGGTGTCTATCAAATCCATTGCTTGTATCTTGTAGTTTTGCAGGGTGAGAGGTTCTTCATCTGACATGTGTAGTATACAGTTTAAAAGTTAGATACCTACGAATATATGGATCAGGTATAACGGTGGTTGATGTATGTGTGCATCATCTCTTTGGATGGTTGTCATATGTAAAACAGATGTTTCTCATTTATAGAATATGGAGATGTGCAGTGAAAGTTTGATCAATATGATACGACCTGAATATTTTGAACTCGATCGATGAAATCAGAATGAAACATCACCTTAGACTGTTTGGTACGCAGCAAATGAGAGACGTTCTGGGCGTCCAGGGATAAAAGATTCATTATACTCTTCAAAAATTGAGACCACAATAGAGACGCCCTGATGTTAGTTTGCAGTGGTTCATCCTCAGGTACCTAAATTTGAAATGTTGAAATAAGAAATGACTAGGATAAGAAGCAATATTCAACATCTTCTAAATGCTGAATGGGATTAAGGTAGTGATCGAAACTTCAACTTCATTTGTAGGCTGTGTAAATTGCACATTGATTCTTTTAGCTTGAAAATTCTTGTCCCTAAATCAATAGCGTCATAAGGCTCATCCATCAACCATCATTACGGAAATAGGGCTCCATCTGGGTCAACAAAGACAAAGATGTGGTTCAGGGCTTCTATAATGTCTTCTTGGCAGTATCAGAAAACATTTTTTGAACAAAAAAGCAGGAGCTCTGCCTCTCAATTAAGAAGAATAGAAGTTGATACAAAGCCATGACACACCCGCACAACAGTCCAGTTGCTATAGCACTTAGCGACTAAGCCCATCATGCGTCATCGTTGCCTAGCTTTAGTGCAAAAGGGACAAAGCAGCTTCGACTTCCCATGGTACCCAAAGCCACCAAGACACCACCACCTGCGCATGACTGGCTCCACTAACACATCTAGGAAGATCCTAACACATGTCATCATCGGCGAGCTTCGTCATGCCCACAATGAAGCAGCTCCAACTCAGAATACTTAAGAAGTGGTATGAAAACGTTCTGATCTACTGCGTTTATAGCTTTAATAAATAAGGTTACAGAACCAGAGCATGTGGGCAATTCAATCCGAACTGGAAGGTGAAAGTTTTGTTCAAACTTCATAATACAAGGATTAGTGAGATTGAGGCAGTCCAACTATAACACTAGCATTCAGCTGTTCACATCTCCCATCCCAGATATCAAAAGGAATTGACCTGTTCATATATCAAGCAAAAGATGGCCTTCAAAGGTATTATAAAGACAATTTATAGAAAATGTAAAGTAGTATACAAATATGTATACTTAAAAGTACCCGAGAATTAATATGATATGATTTTAACATCAACAATGGAATAACATTTCAAAACTAGAAAAGAAAGAGCTTACATCCAAAAGATTTGAAATGTTTACACGGCACACTCCTCTAATTGATATCAGTGCTCCAATCTCCAGCTTTTGAACCTACACTAAAGACAGACCAACAACAACAACAACAACAACAACAAAGTCTTTAAGTCCCAAACAAGTTGGGGTAGGCTAGAGTTGAAACCCAACAGAAACAATCAAGGTTCAGGCACGTGAATAGCTGTCTTCCAAGCATTCCTATCTAAGGCTAAGTCTTTGGGTATATTCCATCCTTTCAAGTCTACTTTTATTGCCTCTACCCAAGTCAACTTTGGTCTTCCTCTGCCTCTCTTCACGTTACTATCCTGACTTAGGATTCCACTACGCACCGGTGCATCTGAAGGTCTCCGTTGCACATGTCCAAACCATCTCAACCGGTGTTGGACAAGCTTTTCTTCAATTGGCGCTACCCCTAATCTCTCACGTATATCATCGTTCCGAACTCGATCCCTTCTTGTATGCCCGCAAATCCAACGCAACATACGCATTTCCGCGACACTTAGCTGTTGAATATGTCGTCTTTTCGTAGGCCAACATTCTGCACCATACAACATAGCAGGTCTAATCGCCGTCCTATAAAACTTGCCTTTTAGCTTCTGTGGTACCCTTTTGTCACATAGGACACCAGACGCTTGCCGCCACTTCATCCACCCTGCTTTGATTCTATGGCTAACATCTTCATCAATATCTCCGTCCCTCTGTAGCATTGATCCTAAATATCGAAAGGTATCCATCCTAGGCACTACTTGACCTTCCAAACTAACATCTTCCTCCTCCCGAGTAGTAGTGCCGAAGTCACATCTCATATACTCAGTTTTAGTTCTACTAAGTCTAAAACCTTTGGACTCCAAAGTCTCCCGCCATAACTCCAGTTTCTGATTCACTCCTGTCCGGCTTTCATCAACTAGCACTACATCGTCCGCGAAAAGCATACACCAAGGGATGTCCCCTTGTATGTCCCTTGTGACCTCATCCATCACTAAAGCAAACAAATAAGGGCTCAAAGCTGACCCTTGATGTAGTCCTATCCTAATCGGGAAGTCATCCGTGTCTCCATCACTTGTTCGAACTCTAGTCACAACATTGTTGTACATGTCCTTAATGAGCCCGACGTACTTCGTTGGGACTTTATGTTTGTCCAAAGCCCACCACATAACATTCCTTGGTATTTTATCATAAGCCTTCTCCAAGTCAATAAAAACCATGTGTAGGTCCTTCTTCTTCTCCCTATACCGCTCCATAACTTGTCTTATTAAGAAAATGGCTTCCATGGTTGACCTTCCGGGCATGAAACCAAATTGGTTCATAGAGACCCGCGTTATTGCTCTCAAGCGATGCTCGACGACTCTCTCCCATAGCTTCATAGTATGGCTCATCAACTTAATTCCCCGGTAATTTGTACAACTTTGAATATCCCCTTTATTCTTGTAGATCGGTACCAATATACTTCTCCACTCATCAGGCATCTTGTTTGATCGAAAAATATGGTTGAACAACTTGGTCAACCATACTACAGCTATGTCCCCGAGGCATCTCCACACCTCGATTGGGATACCATCCGGTCCCATCGCCTTACCTCCTTTCATCCTTTTCAACGCCTCTCTGACCTCAGATTCTTGGATTCTCCGCACAAAGCGCCTATTGGTGTCATCAAAAGAGTCATCCAACTGAAAGGTTGTGTCCATATTCTCACCATTGAACAATTTGTCAAAATACTCTTACCATCGATGTCGGATCTCATCCTCCTTTACCAAGAGATGCTCCCTTTCATCCTTAATGCACTTAACTTGGTTGAAGTCCTGTGTCTTTCTCTCACGAACCCTAGCCATCCTATAAATGTCCTTCTCTCCTTCCTTCGTACTCAAATGTTGGTAAAGATCCTCGTACGCTCTACCCTTTGCCACACTTACAGCTCGCTTTGCAGTCTTCTTTGCCACCTTGTACTTCTCTATGTTGTCCACACTCCTATCATGGTACAAGCGTCTATAGCATTCTTTCTTCTCCTTAATAGCCCTTTGGACTTCCTCGTTCCACCACCAAGTGTCTTTAGCCTCGCGTCCCCTTCCTTTGGTTACTCCACACACCTCTGAGGCTACCTTCCGAATGTTGGTTGCCATCTTGTCCCACATATTGTTTATGTCGTCTTCTTCCTTCCAAGAGCCCTCTTTGATAACCCTTTTCCTAAATACCTCTGACGTCTCCCCTTTCAGTTTCCACCACTTTGTTCTTTCAATCTTAGCTTGTTTATCCCCACGGGCACGCTTTTGAAAGCGAAAATCTGCCACCAAAAGCTTATGTTGAGAAACAACACACTCCCCCAGTATCACCTTGCAATCCAAGCATGCTCGTTTGTCCTTTCTTCTTGCGAGGACAAAGTCAATCAGCTACTGAGTGTTGTCCGCTCTTGAAGGTCACTAGATGAGATTCTCTCTTTCTAAAGAAAGTGTTGGCTATCATCAGGGTCAAAAGCCGCATGAAGTCCGAACTTCCTCCCCTCCCCGATTCCTACTACCATACCCAAAACCTCCATGAGCGCCTCGAAACTGCGCTTGTAGTACCTACATGCCCATTAAGATCTCCTCCTATAAAAAGCTTCTCACTACTAGGTATAGCTCTAACCAGGCCATCTAAGTCTTCCAGAAGGCTGTCTCTTAGCACTCTCGTCGAGGCCTACTTGGGGGGCATACGCACTAATTACGTTCAAGACCATATCACCAACGACAAGCTTGACTAAGATAATCCTATCTCCTTGCCTTCTCACTCCCACCACACCATTCTTGAGGCTCTTATCAATCAAAACTCCTACTCCATTTCTATTCGCGATTGTCCCTGTGTACCAAAGCTTGAAACCTGTATTGTCCACCTCCTTCGCCTTCTGACCCTTTCATTTAGTCTCTTGAACGCATAATATATTTACACGCCTCCTAGTCGCGGTATCAACTAATTCTCTTAACTTACCTATAAGTGACCCTACATTCCAACTACCTAAACGGATCCTAGTTGGTTCGACTAGCTTCCTTACCCTTCGCACCCGTCGACTCTGATGCGAAGACCCTTGCTCATTTTTCACTACACCCGGGCGCCGATGTAGCGCGCCACTAAGGAAGACAGACCATTAACACAAAATGTGGCAGGAAAAAAAAGGAGTGTGATCCTGTAAGTAAACTTATAGAAAGGTGTCGCATGAAGGAAAATAGCTTACACTTTCTATGTGGACCAAGCAACCTTATCTTACAACAAATGAAGCTGGAGTAGAGCTATCTACAACTGGATCAAGCACGAAGTGAACAAAAGAATTTTTCCTCTTGTACAAGGCCTGTTGAGTAAATATTAGAAATAAATCAGTAAGGATGTTGCATAACACTCTACTCGTGGTTTGAGTTGTTAGTATCCTACCAAAGAAATATGGAGATCTTGTGTTTCAAGAATGATGCACCAAAATCGCATATATAGGGTTCTCAATACCCCTCAACTACAATTTCACCGACTGTCTACGCTTTCTTCCAGTCAACATTAAAACCATATTACTTAAATTTTTTGTCAAACCTTGTTTCTAAGTCTGTGTTCCCTTGGATCCAAGAAAAACTAACAAATCTTAAAAGAAAATTAGGTGGACACAAATTTGATAAACAAACAAAAAGAAGATTTAGTCTCAAGAAAAAAGAAATGTATTTCTTCATCATGGCTAATTGTTACAAGTATGTTTCATCAAGAATATCTGATCATGTGGACTAGTAATAATTAGCTTATTACTTGTGATGTTCTGGAGTTTCTGGTTATTAACCGTTTTAGGTGCGTGTTAGTCTAGGTTAGTTGCATTTGCATGAATCAAGTAGTTTAGTCCTAGATTAATCGACTGGTGCATTCTCTTATCCCAGTTTCTGATAACTGAGACTTTCTGTATTTCTGTTATTCAATAATGAAAATGGGGTGTATCCTCATTTTGAAGGAAAAAGGAAAGAAATAATGTACTGAACAAAAAATTCGTACCTCCTCTAGCAATGCTATATATCTTGCTTCATACAAGTGTAGAGTCTTGGATTCAGATGGTATCAGCACCTATAACATTTTCATTATCTTAGCAGAATCCCACAGATTTTACTGATAATGCAAACTGCTGATTAATCTGATTAATGAAATGACATGCAGCTCTCTTGCATCGTTTCAGAAAAAAAAAATGAAAAATAACAGATTGAAGGAACTTATAGCAATTTAGAAAATTCATATGATACTGCAAGTTTTTTGAACAGATAGAATGCACAATACAAATTGAATAGATAAGATCCAAAAGTAATCTCCAAAATTAATATCTGGAAATGCTAAAATGTTTGTCTTCAGACAAGATTTGCAAACAGATGTCTGTCCTCTGCCAGAAGAGATTTGGAAACAGATGGTACTGTCGTCTCTTCCTTAGCGCTGAAAAACTGTCAACTCTGGGCTACAGAGCAAACTCTGCCATCGCTAAGTCTTGCGTTGAGTCTTCAAAGGTATTATAAAGACAATTTATAAAGACAATTTATAGAAAATGTAAAGTAGTATACAAATATGTATACTTAAAAGTACCCGAGAATTAATATGATATGATTTTAACATCAACAATGGAATAACATTTCAAAACTAGAAAAGAAAGAAAGAGCTTACATCCAAAAGATTTGAAATGTTTACACGGCACACTCCTCTAATTGATATCAGTGCTCCAATCTCCAGCTTTTGAACCTACACTAAAGACAGACCATTAACACAAAATGTGGCAGGAAAAAAAAAGGAGTGTGATCCTGTAAGTAAACTTATAGAAAGGTGTCGCATGAAGGAAAATAGCTTACACTTTCTATGTGGACCAAGCAACCTTATCTTACAACAAATGAAGCTGGAGTAGAGCTATCTACAACTGGATCAAGCACGAAGTGAACAAAAGAATTTTTCCTCTTGTACAAGGCCTGTTGAGTAAATATTAGAAATAAATCAGTAAGGATGTTGCATAGCACTCTACTCATGGTTTGAGTTGTTAGTATCTGATCAAAGAAATATGGAGATCTCGTGTTCAAGAATGATGCACCAAAATCCAATATATAGGGTTCTCACCCCTCAACTATGATTTCACCGACTGTCCACACACTCTTCCAGTCAACATTAAAACCGTATAGCTAAAATTTTCTGTCATATCATGTTTCTAAGTCTGTTTTCCTTTGGATCCAAGAAAAACTAACAAATCTTAAAAGAAAATTATTTGGACACAAATTTGATAAGCAAACAAAAAGAAGATTTAGTCAATCAAGAAAAAAAAAATGTAATTCTTCATCATGGCTAAATATTACAAGTAGGTTTCATCAAGGATTTCTGATCATGAGGACTAGTACTAGTTAGCTTATTACTTGTGATGTTCTGGAGTTTCTGGTTATTAATTGTTTTAGGTGCATGTTAGTCTAGGCTAGTTGCATTTGCTTGAATCAAGTAGTTTAGTCCTAGATTAATCGACTTGTACAGTGCATTCTTGTTAGAGCTTAGGCTTCTGAGGTTATAGTTGTGGCGGGTGGGCGGACGAGGCTTGAAGCGAGGACGACGAGCAGTGGCGCCGTGCTGTTCGGCTTGTTGTCGCTATGAGGGTTTTGAGAGAGGAAGAAGAAAACGTGGTTGCCAGGGGCCATGGGAGATATAATCTCAATCCCTGGCTAACCTTTATTGATCCATAGAGTTTGATACATATAGGACTGAACTTAACCAACTATCCCTAGCTTTTAGGACTCTGTAATCTCAACTAACCAAACTCTAATGACTCTCAATCCAAACTAACCCAAACTCTAAATATCGCAACCTGTGCACCCCCTAGTGACCACGCCCAGCTTGGCACACGGTTGAGCCTAGCCACTATGGCGTCTATAGACTCTGCTGACCATAACATCACTCCCCCCCTCGGCAAACAGCTTGTCCTCAAGCTGAAAGGTGGGGAATTCGGCGCGGAAATCCTCGAGCGGTTCCCATGTTGCGTCCGCTGGCGGAAGACCTGCCCACTTGATGAGCACATGCCAGACCCCGCGACGAGCTGTGCACGCAAGGCTTGATCCGGTTGGAGCAGGCGACGCCCCTGGTGAAGCGGAGGCAGAGCTGGCGGTGTAGACGGTGGAGGACCTCGGAACGGCTTCAACACCCCGACGTGGAATACGTCGTGAATCCTGGCTCCGGCTGGCAGCGACAAGCGGTACGCCACCTCGCCGATGCGTTCGACGATCTGGTATGGCCCGGCGAACCGAGGGCTGAGCTTGCCGCGACGCCCAGGCAGCAGTGACTGTGTAGGACGATGAAGGATGCAGAGCCAAACCCAGTCAACCACCTAAAACTCCAAAGCACGATGAGAGCGATCATAGTGGCGCTTGGCATACGCCTGAGCCTGGAGCAGCCTGGCGCGCACATCAGCTAGGAAGTCGTCTCGGTTCTGCAGGAGGGCGTCAATAGCATCTGTGCGGGAGGACCCTGCAGTATAAGGCAGCAAGGCCGGTGGTGGTCGACCATACACAACCTGGAACGGCGATGTGCGGAGGGCTGAATGATAGGACGTGTTGTAGCAATACTCCACCCAAGGAAGCCACTCAAGCCATGCACGCGGTCGGTCACCGTGATGCACCGGAGGTACATAGCTATAGTCTGTTCACCGCCTCCGGTGACCGTCCGTCTGCGGATGAAATGTTGTACTGAGTCTGAGCATGACACGGCAAGTTTGAAGAGATCTCACCAAATGTGGCCTATGAACACCGGGTCCCAATCACTGACAATTGAATTGGGGAACCCATGGAGATGAACGATGCCCTCAAAGAACGCCTTTGGCCACTGACATAGCTGTGGTACGAGTGGCTAAGGGGTATAAAATGAGCATGCTTGAAAATCATCCACCACAGTCGAGGATGACACTCTTTCCATGCACCCGTGGAAGCCCCTCAATGAAGTCAAGAGCTATGTCTGCCCACACATGCGAAGGTACCTCCAGGGGTTGCAAGAGGCCGGCTGGTCGGAGGAGTCCACCTTGTTCTGCTGACATACGGCGCAGAAGAGCGAACAAAATCACGGACCAGCCCGCTGTCATGCTCGATGAAGAACTCATAACGGAGGCGCTGCAAAGTCTTCGGAACCCCTCATGGCCTGCTGAATGAGCAAGGTCAAGCACCATGGGCACAAGTGCCGACCCAGCTAGAACGAACACCTGTTGCCGTAAAGTATAAGCCCGTCGACCATGCGCCACGGTGCGCCACGCTGGGCGACACCCGTGTCTCGGAGGGCGCGCAAGTCCGGGTTCTCCTGCACCTCTCTTCGTAGCTCATTAAATAACTCAAACGACGGACCAGAGATAGCATGAGCAGCTACGTAAATCGTCGTCGTGACGGCAGGAGAGAGCATCCGCCACCGTGTTCAAGCTACCTGGGCGAAACTCCACTGTCAAATCATATCCGAAGAGCTTGGTCACCCAGTGATGTTGCGGCGGTGTCGACAAGCGCTGGTCCAGTAGAAACTTGAGTGCGTAGTGGTCGGTACGCACCACAAAAGCTAGTGCCCCCACAAGTATGGTCGCTAGTGTTGCACGGCCTGCGCATGAGGCCGATAAGCTCACGCTCATAAGCCGCCAATTTCATGTGGCGCTGCGCAAAGGGCCTGCTGAAGAAGGCAATTGCACCGATGCCCTGATGAAGAACAGCGCGAATCCCGACCCCAACGCATCACAGTCCACCGTAAAGGGCCATCAAACGCCGGCAAGCTGCAGCACCGGTCTTTGTAGACAGTGCCCGTTTGAGGCGTCAACGCCAAAATAGCCTCATCGACCAGTTGAACGCATCGCGCCGAAGAAGCGGGTCAGGGGCGCCGCGATGGCACCGTAATACTTGATAAACCGGCGGTAATAGCTGGCCAAACCGAGGAAGCCGCGTAGGCCGCGCACCGATCGCGGTTGCGGCCATGTCGTGATGGCGTCCACCTTGCTGACGTCCATGGCCACACCTTCAGCTGAGATCACATGCCCGAGGTACGCCACTGAGGACTCAGCAAACGAGCACTTGCTGCGCTTGAGCCACAGCTGGTGTGCACGGAGCGCTAAGAGGACCGCCTTTACATGCTGGAGATGCATTGTCCATGACGGGCTATAGATCAAGATGTCATCGAAGAAAACCAAGACAAACTTACGCAGGTAGGGCTGGAGGACAGCGTTCATTAGGCTCTGGAACATTGCTGGTGCATTGGTGAGGCCGAACGGCATGACCAGAAACTCAAAGTGGCCATGGTGTGTTCGGAACGCCGTCTTCTCGATGTCCTCTTGATGCATCCGGACCTGGTGGT